CTTGATATTAACAGTACCATTAGTCACTTTTTTAATATTAAGAAATAAATTGCAATAAAACAATTTTTTATTTGTCCGAATTATTTTATGAAAATATGTTGTAGAGCTTCAAAATTCGAAGAAGTCCAAAATAAATTAATAATATAAATGAAATACCTACTTACAAGTTTATTTTTATAAAATATTTTCTGTCTGTTCCCAACTGGCAAAGGAGTACGACAGAGAGACGCGATATCCCCAAAGCTGTTTACAGCAACACTACAAGAAATCTTTCCTCAATATCTCAACCATCTAAGATTCGCTGATAATATATTTGCCAATAGCCCTGAAAAAAATATACAAGCACAAATTAACGAACTAAATACAGCCAGCAATAAAGTGGATCTCAAAATGAACTTAGCAAAAATTAAAGTAATGTACAACAAACTAGAGGACAGAAAATAAATTCTATTAAATAACACAGCATTGGAAATAGTAGAAGAATACATATATATTTGGCACTACTAATACACAGCTTGGGATCTCTACTACCAGAAATCAACAGAAGAATTAAGTTGGCATGGAGTACTTATGGAAGAAGCTCAATCATATTCAAATCTAAAATGCCACTTTATCTAAAGAAGAAAACATTCGACCAATGTGTACTACCAGTGATGACCTATGCATGCGAAACCTGGACACTTAAAACGGACATCGTAAGGAAACTGCAGGTCGCACAACGCTCAATGGAACGAAATATGCTGGGAATAATCAGGAAAGGCCGTAAAAGAATAGAGTGGATACGACAAATGACCCAGGTAATAGTCACCACAAAATCAAATGTCATCCACAAAATTAAATCCCTCAAGTGGTAATAAGCGGGACACCTGGCAAGGACGGACAACAGATGGACCACAAAAATTAGAGCATAGTACCCACGAAGAATAAAGAGACCTAGAGGTCCAAACTTGAGATGGGACCATGATATTAAGAAATTAGAAGGGATAATTTGGGCCCGGCATAGTCAACAATAAGCAACAACGACAAAGAGTATCTAAATATGTGAGGGGGGCTACGCCATAATTGGAAATGGTTGAATAAGCTAAAAATGATTATGGTTTTCTTTTAATTTTATTCTCATTATATCAATTCATGTAATAAAAAATGGAGGTACCCATTTAAAATAAGAAAGTTGTTGTCAACTTTCGGTATTTCCGGAAGTGCCGCCATATTGAAAATATGTTTAATCGATACAGCATCTATGACGTACAAAAAATCTCCGATCTAGATATTATAGTTCTCTAGAAACTTCAAATGCACGCTCAGCCTGGGACACTCTGTATATTTGTTCTTTATTTTACTGGCATTTTCCTGTTTCTTGTTATGATAAGGGCTTAGCTTTTAATTTTTAGCGGTTTTTTAATTAATCTGCACGGTTTGTTTTTTGGTAGTGATTGGCAACACTGCGGCATTCCCAGTAGGCTGATTTTCATCTATCCAAATATTTTTTTAATATCCAATTTTCTTAATATTATCATTTCAAACCATCGCCCTTGTATATGCATTTTTAAAGTAGCTCAACCTAAGACGTTTATGGATGTAAAGCACCAGATGGCGGGGCGTATTTCACAGTCTTTTACTACAGAAAAATATTTTTTGTTACTCTGAATTTTGAAGCGACCAATAAAAACAGAGAAAATAAAAATCGATAATTTTCGGACTGAGCCAATTGGTTACTAATCGACCAGATACTTTTTGTCTATTAGATATGCTATAAAAGCTGGTAATTATACAATTCGACCATTGTAAATACCCGACAAATTCCGCAAGGCCGACGAGGCCGATGCTTTTCACTGATAAGAAAATAAAATGTTTGTTTAGATAATTTTCGAAATATTTTTTCTTTCTGAATGCACATTTTTAAAGTATTTTATATTCTTTATCCGCTTGATCTATTATACTGGTTGCACGTATCGAAGTTCTGTTTCTTCTAGTTTTAAAAAATGTTCTTATTTCTTTATAGTTGTAGTGGTTGTAGTGTAAAATTAGATTAATTTTATTAAGTTTAATTATAATGTTTAGTGTAGAATACCAGAAATATTTTAGTAGTATTTTTATAGTTTATTATTTTGTAGTTAAGTAGTAGGTGAAGGGATAATTTGGTTATTTTTTCTTTTTGTTTGATTAATTAGTAAGTTTGATAATTTTTTCAGTGTAAAATACAAGAAGCAGTTGTGTAGTGTATAAGAGATTATGTTCGTTTATTTTATAGATGAGTAGTAGGTGAAGGTATTTGGGTATTTTTTCTTTTTGTTTTTCTTCTAATTGTAGTAATTCTATTAAGTATTGTGATAAATACATATCTTCCTTCAACTTCGTTGAAATGTGCGTTGTCATATAATTTTGCTTTTCTGGTAGTAGAATATACGAAAAAAAAAATCAGATCAAATATATTTTAAATTAAATTAATCGAATCTTATTAATCAAATTAATCTAGTCAAATAATAATAATAGTTAGTTTCTAAATACTATACAAGGTGAGTTTCCTACGATGGTCTCTATGGGTATCTCGGAAACTACTGGAGATAGAGAGTCGGTTAAATGGGGAAAGAATTGCAGTTTTGTGGGGTCATAAATATGCGCCTTTCGGATTTTTCGGAGAAGTTCGAGGCTTACCAGACATTTCGAAAAAAACAAATTTTGGCTATTTTAAAACTTGTCTCTAATTCCATTATAATCTACCGTATAATCGAATAAAAACGGCGTCAACGATGGCTATGAAATGAAGATGGTTGTCATTTTATATGGAAAATATCATCGATCGGGAGATATCATCGATCGATAGAAGTTGTAGATAATCACATACCTAATGAGTTTGTGTTTTCTGTGTTTTTTTCTAAAGCCTGTCATTTTTGACATAATATGACACAAACATTATGTTTTTTTTTAAATGGAAACCCTAGTTGGCCATGACTTCATAAAAAGCGCAATTCTTTAAGCTTTTCAGCAATATAGGTATAATATGTTTTTTTTCGAAAAATTACAAGTTATAGCCAATTCTTTTCTTTCTTGGCTAATTCCCATACCAATAATACTATGCCAATTAGTTGGCATCAAAAATGTAAAAAGTTTTATGTTTTCAAAAAAAAATATCGTAAAATTCGTAAAACACTCAAGCTAGAATAAAATAATCTAAGAATGAAATGATTCTTTTATAAACCTGCATTAAATCAAATTAAAATAGGTATGTAACTTTTTTTTAAATATTTATTAATAGCAATTAGCATTATCATAAATTATAAATAATGTACCAACATATCAAAATAATAATTTCTTTGTTAATACGGTTTAGAATTCTTAAAATAACAGGCAAAAATAATCCACTATTTACAATAAAATAAAAGTTTCCTTTAAATTTCTTAATCAGCTGATCACTATTAAAGTTCGCAGAAACCCGGGGCTATATTATTACATTACTCTGAGGAAAATAACGAAAATAATCGATATTTTTGACTCCGCCCCGAATGGTTCACGACTTGTCCTCCAGTTGGCAGCACATTTTGTCTAGTCGGTTGGGCAACTTTAAGAATATATAAACAAGGCCATCGCACAGTGGTTCCCCTTAATTAGCTGCGCGGTCATAACTATTAGATATCTAGATATAGCTTGACTGCACCTTTTTTAATAGAAATTGATAACAAATGCTAAATAAATGTATACAAAAAAACTTAATGTAATATGTGTTAAAAAAAATTGGGCCCAATTCGTGTGATTTGCATTTTAAGTTCTAACTATTCGGAAAGGTATACAGATTATGTTTGCACATATGTACATGCTTTTTCATATTGAAGAGGTCAAATTTATTTTAAATGTTGAAAAAATAAATGAGACAGTTGTTTCATTTTATAAATACAATTTTATTGTCAATTGATATACAGTGTGTCCACGAAATAAGTTGACACGAAGAGGAAAAAATAAGTTATTTTTATTTTAAGACAAAAAGTCAATCTTTAACCACCCGGTATAAGATCCGGCGGCAATTCGCAGCAGCCAGTGGCAATTAATTTATATGCAATATTCTTTAAGCAACAACTATTATCATGCCGTTTAAGAGGATTTGAAAGGGAAAGTAGTTAAAAGTCTTAAAGAGTGACAAGCAAAAATGTAAAAATACTATTTTTGTTGCCTTCAAATAAATTGCCATAAACTAATATTACTTAGGTTTAATTAAGTGCAAACAAGAAAAAACAGTTCTTTTTACCTTCCTTTCGAACATCCATTACAGAAAAGGCAACAGCTTTTATCAATTTTAATAAAGTCAGTAATTAATTGGCGTTATCTGAAAACTGTTAATGTCAGCTTGATAGCAGTAGCAAAAATGTGACATTTCTAATAAAAAAAGCGCTACACTAGGCTTACTTGATTTTTTAATTTATTATGTATCGTTTATAGGGGAATATAAGAAAAGTATTAGCAACAGTTTCATGCAAACATTTTGAAATTAATATTTCTAAGTAATGACCTATCTGGGAACCACTGTGCATCGCTCAATTATCAAATTCCGCTCTAGTTTGTTCTCCCAAGCATACTCAGATTTTTAATATACTCTATGGTTTAACCATTTTAAAACAAGCAAAATTTTTTATGAAGAATGCATTTTCCTCTAAATATCAATAATAAAAAAGTTTTTCCTCTTGTAAAGACAATCCGGAGACATACTGTCTACCTCAGGATGCTTGCAAACATTTTTTTTGCATTATAAATCAGTGGATCAAAAAATGGGATATGTAGTTCGACAACTGAAAACAAAGGAAACTCAGTAGATTAAGTAATATTAAAATTAATAACAACAGTAATATTAATATCAAGTATAAAAGTTTTCCGTCATATTTTTATTGTATCAAACCCTTGACGTAACAAAAATACTAAACACAATTTACGTTTTATGTGTTCTTTTGTAATTCTGCTAAACATTTTCTCTCAAAGTCAAAAATAAATTATAAGATGGTCTCTTTTTTCAGTGGTACAACTGTAACTTAAGTGATCTCCCAGTAGATCTAGCACAATCGTTTGTTCAACTGGGACCCGACCAAGATACCGTCCATTTTCTAGAAGAATCCGAGAAAAAATCGGACTGGATTTTCACGCAACTTTGGCACGCCCTAGTCAAATTCGTTCTGGGATTGTTTATGACGCAGACATCTATCAATGGGTAAGTACTTATGTATGTACATACTATTTATCATTATTGCTATAGAATCGCCGGTTAATTTTTTCTTCTAAGCAACAGAAATTTGTATACTGTGTATGCAAATTTGTATATGTGCAGTTTTTGCTTTGAATATTTTATTTGAGTCTAAACAGATTAATAGACAGAAATCAGAAGAAAATGAGGTAATTTTTAGGGTACGTTCAATATCTTATAAGTTAAGCGAAGTTATTGTATTTATGTCAGTTTTAGAGATTTTTTCTCGAAAAATATAGAACGGGGATTTAGAATTTGGTGTAACGTTTATTAATTTATGAATTTAGTTATTCGGAACAAAGGAACACGCCTCCGCGGGAAATATCTTATGGACAATTAGCCGGCAGGATTTTTGGACTACCAAGAACAAATCTTTTAATACTATCAGTTAACTAACTTGTTATTCTACATGGATAGTGTAGAGGGTACCAGCTACATATTTTTAATTGGTTTAAAGAGTAATAACTTTTAGTCCGTCCCTGTATAAAACTATTGAGTAAAAAATATACATTTACAATATTTTTTACGTAAAAAAGGTCTCTTGGGAAATATCGCTACGAGTAATGGTTCTCAAGATATTTGGAATAAACATTTTTTCCATTGTAAATACCTTGAAAACGGTTACTCGTAGCGATTTTTACCAAGAGACATATTTTACATAAAAGTCAGGGAAGTGTATATTTTTCACTCAGTACCCTTATAGGGTAGGAAGAAAAGTTATTACTCTTCAAAACAGTTAAAACACGTGTAGGTGGCGCCCCCTACAAATAGGAGTCACATTGACATCAAAATCAAATTTTTCATGTCAAAAAACTTCCAGACACCAATTTTCATCCAAATATTGACGTTACTGCAGAAATTATTTGGAAAAAATCGCAATAAGAATGAAACTTTTACACCCTGTATCTCCGAATCTAAGGATTTTAGGTCACACATTTTTACGATCTTTTTTACTTATTTTTATCTGCAGAGTATACTACTAAGTTTCCGAAATACAACCCGTCGGACCACTCTGTATACAATTTTTACACTAAAATGTTTTCTTTTAATTGAAATATTCTTAGGGTACAAACATATTGGGGCATTTCGATGTGATGCTCGCCGCGATGCATCCTTCGCGCTCATTTTAAGCACTGTTTTAAAACGAAGAGTAAGTGAGATGCCCCACTATGTTTATTTATACCCTTAGAAAACTTACATTACTGACGGTTGTTGAATATCTACCATGCAAAATTTGTATTTTTACCACAAAAATTTTTGGTTTTTAACGTAAAAGACGCATATTTTGTTTTTTGGAAATAGACTACATTAGTTTGTAGATTGGTATGGGAAAGGGGAAGTTAATCACCGCGACCTTATAGATTTATTGTGCCCCCCTTTCTCGATTTTCAACTCGTCATACAGTCTCAGAACTTTGACAAAATTTGTGTGAGACGGTTTTACAAAGGTTAATTCTCCATCTCCGATATCAATCGTACCAAAGTTTATGGCACGAATGCTTGTCGTCTCGACGCACTCAGTGATGTGTTGTGGTGTTTCCCCATTTTTCCTCCAGAATCTGCGTTCGCCGTTATTCCTTATGGTACGTATACATTGGCGCGGCGAACGCGCGGCACGCGCACACCGATTCGCCTCTATTGGTACGTGTTTTCAAGTCGAGCGCGCTCCGCGCGTAAACAGCTAGCGGCGAACCATCTCCAGTCGGTAGCATTCGCAGCCCTACGCATTCTTTCCCAATCAGCCCCCTTGATGTCCCGAATCTTCCTCACTCTGCATCTACGCTTTACCCCCAAGTCCACCTCGTATACGAATGCACGGTGGTCGCTCAACGTCTCAGTCTCCAGCACCGCCCAGTTGCCAATATTTTCACCCCGTACCCACACCGTGTCAACCCAACTCTCTCCACGCGTGCTACTGAACGTAGCCAGCGAAAGAAACTCCCCCCTCACCGCCCATTCTAGCAGCTCCGTACCCCTATTGTCCGTAACACTACCACACCAGACCTCATTTTTTGCATTGAAATCCCCCCCCCCCCCGACAATCCATCTATCCCTCATGCCACCATCCCCCAATTATATCTACTGAGTACTCCCACACTATTTCCCCCCGGCTCATCATACAGCGAACTAATGAGGCAGCTCGCTACTGAGACTGTTACCATGTTGGAACCCGTAAGGTCTCTCACACCATACGCCCCCAACTCCGTTCTAACCCTGACCTGGACCTTTTGACCCTGTTCACCTCCGAACGAGTCCCATCCTTCCCATCCTCCCATCTTACAGTATGGCTCTTGTATGAGCGCCACATCGCAGGCCACCTCACTAGCCAGCATCCCCATCAGGTCCCCTGATTCCCGTCCCCGTCCCATATTTATCTGTAGGACCTTCATCTTCCCCCGTAGTCTATCCTCGCCGCCTGTTGCTTCTGTTTCCTCAAATACACTGGACATGACCTGTCGGTTGCCCAGTGTATCCTCTGTGCGCCTTCCACTCCCATTCTCATACAGTTGGCACAATCCCATATATCGGAACTAGGGCAGTCCATTCCCTCGTGGCTTTCCTTTGCACATCTGTAGCAGCATTCGTCCTCCTTGCATTCTGAAGTCCTGTGTCCAAACCTGCAGCACCTCCAACACATCAAAACCGATATGTTTTCCTCCACCCTGTGAAGCACTAGGTCGAAAGCTACTCTACCCCTTTTCATCATTGTCCTAAAAAGTTCCTGGTCCACTTCCAGGACCCAATGTTCGAGGTACTCACTCCTCCCTTCCTCCTTGTAACAACTTTCATTGCCTCTTCCGCCTTACTTCCCATTCCCTTCGACACTTCCCTAATGTCCATGTTCTCGACCACTAGTCCCTGGATTATATCCTGATCTTTATAACCTTTCTCGATTCCCAGAATTGTTATTCTGGGTCTTCCATATGTGGTCTTACCCACCTCTATACTCCCTTCGTCCCCTATCTTCTCCTTCAGCCTTACAATCTGCACCTCATCATAGCACTCTACGATCATAGACCCGTTCCTAAATTTCCTGACCCTCTTCACTCCGTCCTTTCCCACTACTTCTGCCGTCAATTTCCCTTTGAGAGCCCCCATAACATTAACACCTTCCTTTCCCTTTATAATGAGTTCATTCTTTCTCCTTGTAACCGGAGTCACCCAGCCACACTTATCTCCCTCGCCTCTCTCAGGCCTGTCACCTTCCCCAGCCTGTCTAGCTACGCTAGCATAGGTTTTGGTCGGCTGAGCCGCCGCTGTCGTTGCCCCACTTCCAGTTGCAACCCCCACCAATACCGGCGCCATATTTATATTTGCCTCTGGGGCAGTCGACATAGTCCTCTGCCCCTGCCCCATCGCCTGATTATCTACCGCCCCCTCTAAAGCGTGTGGATTTCCCCCTGCACGTTGCGTTTCCCCAGGTCCTCTGTCGACCTTGGCTCTGGCCAATAACTCGATAGACCTCTCCATCCTATCAAGCCTCGCTGCCATATTTCCCTCTACTTCGTCACTTCGTTCCCCTTGTTTACCTTCCTTATCCCTACCCCTAATCATCACCCTTAACCTATCGTTCTCCCTTCTGTACTCCCCCAACGTAACCGCAAGAACAGCCAGACTCTCACCCAACTCATACAAATTTTCACTCACCTCATTTTGTTCAGCCTTATGAAACTGTATCTTGTTGCCTGCGTACCTCGACGTGGCCTTCCTTATGCCGTCTATGTTGCCCTTGGCTTTATTGTATAAACATAGTACATCTACATTTTTTACAGATAAGGAACATTGATCCTCTTTTTCTTCTTCTTTGTTCATGTCCCCTGCATCCGATCCTTCTTCCTCGTTCCCGTCCTCTTCCTCCTGACTCCCTCCTGCCGACGCTCCTGTCCCCAACGCTGCAGCTCTCCTTGCTTCTATAGCTCTTGCCTCTGCTTGGTCCTCTTCCACCAGAGATTTCTCCAGGATGTCTGTCGCTTTTTCCAGGACTTCAGCCATGAGTATGCCCACCTGGGCCTGCATCCTGATGCTCCTATTGTCCTCAGCCATTTTTTTCTTTTCTCCACTTGCTCAGCGAGAGCAGCCTGTCGAGAGTGAAGAACTCCTCGTTCTGTCCCCTGAACAACCTGACGGGATCTTTGAATGCTATCGCAACTTTGAATGCATGCGCGCAAACAGCAAACAGAACCATCTCCAGTCGGTTTTTCGACGCTCCGCTTTGTATGTTCGTTGTTCAATTGGGACGGCCGGCGAAGACACCGCGCGCATTCCGCGCGCATTTATCAGTGACTATGTGTGTTTTCTTTGAATAAATTACCTTTTTTTGTGTTTTTCTTTGAATATTGTTTATTAATGGAGTGTTTAAAGAGTAGCACTACTCATCACTAAAATTGCATAGTTCTTCTCGGACAATAGAGACATGATTGACGACTAAACGAATGTTCGCGAGATTTCTACACTGAAAAAAAGGATCTCTCAGTCGAAATGAATATGACTTTGACACAAAAGATTGGCGCTTTTCAATAGGGCCAAGAACGACGTTTCTTTACCCAAAGCATTAACTATCTTTTCATAAGCTTTAAAAAATTACTTTAGAGAATAGAAGAATCTATCTGTCCAAAGTATTTTACTCTTGACCCAAAATTAATATGCAAAGAAGTTCTTGCTACAAGAACAATAGTCTTTTTGATTCATGCAAAAATTCTTGATAGAAAAGGGACATTTCTTGATTAAAGAGACACTTTTCTTAACCCAATAGCGAATACCATTGAATCAACTAAAATTTATTTTGATCTAAGAGAAGTCTATACATCATATACAGGCATATTACGAGATATATTATTTTCTGATAAATTTAGGTTTTCCTGGTCTGTAGTAAGTAAAGTGATATTATTTTCCTCGAGAGTAGTTATTTCTGCTTCTTCACTCATTGGTATTTTTTGGGGTGGTTCATCACTCTACAAATTACAAAAA